TTTAACCAGTTATTCTTAATTAATTTTTGAGAAAAGTTTAAAAAACAATTCAGTTTTTGCAAATTTTTTATGGTTGACCTTTTACTTCTATTTTAAAAATTTAAAGATATAAAAAATAAAAGTCCTTGTAAAATTTTCTTTGCGTATAAAGTTACGCAACTTTTCTTTTAAATTTATGCTATTCAAATTTTGATTGGATAAATTTGATTTTTAATTGTTGTGTTTAAGAAAAAAAAAGTTTAATCTGAAGTCTTTTTCTAAAAAAACAGTCTAAATATGTGAAACGACAGATTGCTTCAAAAAAAAAGTTTTATCTGAAGTCTCTTTCTAAACAAAATGTTTTAAGTAATCAAAAAGACAGATTGCTTCAAAATATCTTAATTTCCTTTTTTATTTATTTTTAATCGTTATTCAAGCTATCAAGAAGGCTATTCAAGATTTCATTTTTTTTTTCACTTTCTTTAATAAAGTCAAGAATAAATCTTTTAAAGTGCCAGTCAGTAGAAGTTCAGTTAAATTCTAAAGGTTTAACAACTCTTAAGATAGACAGGCTAAAGGAATAATGTTACCTAAATGGCTTTATAAAAAATAAACTGGGTGATCAAATTTTGAAATATTCTGCTTTACTCTAAAACGCAGTGAATAGCTAGTTAAAAAAAATTCTAGAAGCAGTTAATAAGTATACCTCAAAGAGGTTGAATGATTGTATAATTCTTGCTAGAGTATTTTAGAAAAAGTTAGCCTCAGGACTTTAAAAAAGAGAAAAGTATTATGTGTTTGGTTGATGATGGAATATGATTAGTATTAACTTTCTAATTAAGTTGTTGCAGTTGGAAAGCTTTGGAAAAAACCCATTTAATTTCGACAGTAGATGTATACTTAATTAATTAAACCATATAAAAAATGAAGGTTCTTGCAGTTTAAAAATATTTTGGAAAATTATTGTCCAGTTATTTGTCCAAAAAGTTGAAACTATGGAATATTGTTGAAACCAGCTACAAAAACAAATGGATAACAATGGCAGCAAACTTTACATCAGGTGTGCAAGATGAGTTCTGTTTTAGCTGGATTAAAGTTAAAAGGCAGCCCATTTAGCTGTGAACTAGACATGATTCAAGTAGATAAAGATATGTTAAAATAAAAAAAAAGTTCGAAAAATGAGGTTCTTTATTTTAGGGATACAATGTAGGTCATTGTCGCGGAGGACTGTTCTGTTTAAATACATGATTGTTGATATAAAAATACAAACCTCCATCTTTTGTCTACCAAAGAACACGCTCATAACCTAGATGTTCTATAAGGAAAGTTCATGCAGCAATCTCTATCACATATGATTTTTATATTTATTTTCCATTTTCAATAGTAAATAACAAACTGTTTGAATTATTTTCATATATAATGCATTTTTTTTTTTTTGTTACTTATAAATGATAAGGTATATTGTTGATAAATTAAACAGAAAAAGATTTCTAGTTTTCTACTTTTCTTATATTTAATGATAATAATAATTTCATCTATTTTTAACAATGCCTTTTTTTTGTCAATATATTCACTTTTATTAAAATTGAAGTAGAAGGGTAAATAATCAAAATGGAAAAAAATGATTATGATTTCCAGAATCAGCATGAAAAACTAATTAAGAAAAATTGGTTAAACTATAAAAAATTAAAAAAAAGACGATTATGGCCCCCCCCCCCCCCTAATATTAATAGTATGAAAATCTGAATAACAATAAATCATCAGGTGAAAACAAATGGAAAATTGTTACTGATTTAACTAAATAATGAATTCATTGGGCTGATTTAGTAATTCAAAACCCAAAAGGCAATGAATTAATTTTATTAAACCAGATTTTTGTTTATTTTTACAATAAAAAAAAACATTTTTATAATACTGAAAATTTAAGGAGATATGCAAAAGCTTAATAAATGGCAAATATTTTTTCAACGTGTATATAACAATCTGATATAACATTATTTTCTTTTAATAGAAATATAACATACATAAGCACACATAAAAAGAAATTCTGATTTGACAATCATGGAAAACCAGAAGGCAATTATCTTATCTGTCTAACGTTATTTTATAGGAATAATGTAAAATAATAACATTTAAATGAACTTAAATGTCATATTTCACAATTACACATGTTTAATGTTAAAACATTTAAACAAAAGATAACTTTGCATGTAAAGATATGACACTTAAGTTCATTTAGATACTATTATTTTGCAATGCTCTGTCATGGGAATTTTAGGTGATTAAACTAAGTTAACTATTATAATAATGAATTTTAGTAATATGTTGTTATTAATATTATTTTTAATATATACTTGTTTTTAATATGTTTACAATGGAAAATAAATATCTTGTTGGAAAAAAATATCTAGTGAAAAAAAGCAACATCTTTACAAATCCACTACAAAGAATATTTAAAAGCATTAAGAAACAAAACAAAGCAAATCTCAAGAAGAAGCAAATAAGATCTAATCTTAAATAAAAAAAAACATCCAAGTTAAATTTTGAAGTTAAAAAAGATTGAAAATTTTAAAACAAATTGAACTCTGAAAAAGATATGTATTTAATCCTTCTGGACTAAATACAACACTGAAAAAGCTTTTGGTTGAATCTAAAATTAATTTTGATGATTTAATTAATTCCATAAATTACATCAATTGCAGAGATTGAAAAAGTGTTTCAGTCAGATATGCAATACCTTTTAGTAAAATTTTTACTAAAAGGTATTGCATATCTGACTGAAAAGAAGAAACTGCAACTTGTTATCACCAGAGAACTACCTAACATTAGATTAAAAACCTTTAATTAAAAAAAAAACAAATTGCAAAGATTTGAGAGTAATAAAAGCTAGGAAAAAAATTGTTTGGAATTAAAATTATCAATAGGATGACCCCTGAACAGTTTAATTTAAATAATTTTGATGTTTTGATGAAAGATAAAAGGTGATGCTTCTGATAGGAGAATAACTTAAACTGTTTAAACAGTTAAAACATTCAATGGTTGAAAACTTGGGCGAACATTTTTTTTTTTTTTTAATTTTAATTCACCTCCTCAAGGCCGAGAAGGCCACTACAGACGAGGAGGCTACTTATTTGTGGCTATAACCCTCTCTCAACTCTATAACTCTGAAACACTAACCTTGACGAACAAGGGCGCTGTGCAAAGAAATGAGTTGAGCGCGGTACCACCAGGGGCGGGGTGGGGATCGAACTCAGAACCACTAGTTTATGAAGCGAGCGCTCTACCACATAGGAACAATCCATAGGTATCTCCAGATCAAAAGTTTAGTCTTTAGTGACAATAGTTTGGCACAAAGTAAATGTTTTTCTTAGACTAAAATAGATTTTCTTTTAAAGTTAATCTTTGGTTTCAGCTTCCAAATTATTTTTACATAACCTTAAAAGGATTTACCAGAAATCCTAATTAGGTTGTTACTCTGGGGCTTAAGCCAGGTTATTAACTTTTGCAACATAATGGCTATTTTGCTTATCTAGGTAGATTGGTCACATGTCTGGAATGGCTGGAACACTTCTGGTATAGGCTAAGTCAGGCCAAAATACATAATTATCATCTCTTTGATGTTTGTAGTAAAAAAAAGTTCAATTTTTGATGATACAATATTTTTTACACTGTTTTGATAAATATAGTTGAAATTTCATTAAGGGTTATGGTAATCCACACATTAATTTTTTTTTCTTATTTTCACTTAATTATTAAAATAATTTTTTTTTTCAGCAACAATTTTTTTTTTAATGTTTCAATGTAAAATACAACTTATAATTAATGATAAAACAAAATTTCTGAATTTGCAACAAATTCTTCCACACCTCATTTGCTATTGTCAAAAATATCGCAGTTATAGTTTTCTGAGTGATTCATATTTATGAAATGTTGGTTCATTTTTATTCCACTTTTTTATATATATTCCATAACATTATGCAGTTCTTTTAAAGTGATTTAAGGCAGTAATCTAATGTTTTTAGTTTTAGTGTTAGGATGTAAATTACAATACAGTTACAAAGTTTGTGTGACTCCTCAACACAAACTTATTTCTTTAGTATTTTCAGCCATTGAAATCTAGAAAGATTGAATAGAAAAATAAGATTACTATGTCTTCTAATTACTATATCTTGCCCAACATACATAGTAGTTAGAAGTGGAATACCAAAGTCAATGAAGATCGATCCTTTCCTTTACATTATAAAATTTACTTTATAATGTAAAGTTTCCTTTGCATTTGTACTTTATAATGTTAAGTTTTCTTTATAAAGTACAAGAATCCAACTGCGTAAAGTGTTCACAGCTAATGCAGTTTGCCAAATGAGTGGAAAGTAAAGGAGCTTAAAAACGTCATATAATATTTTATGTGGGAGTTAGGGTTCTAAAAGTTGCAAAAATATTACACATTGTGTAAACAACCTCTGTGTCATTTTATAATATAAATGCGTTATTTGATTAAACATAGTTTAAATTAATAACCTATTTTTAATATAAAATTTAAACTAATCAATCAAAGTCTCATTTAAGTATTAATGCTAAACTATGAGCTGTTTATAAATTTTCAATTTGATAATATAATTTTTAATTTATAATATTTTTAAAGTATTAATATAATTTTAAAACTTTAAGATTTAGTTGCTAAATTCATTTTTTTATTTTTTCAAACAATCATAACTTGTTTTGAACTATTTGCTTATAAATATCTCTACTTTACTCTTTCACATAGTATTGTTCATAGTATACTTCACATAGTTTATAACCCATTATTCAAATGGTAAATTTTTTATAATAATGTTAAATATTATTATAAACACTATTTAAAATACATTTTACTTTTTGGAGCTATAAAAATATTTTTTATGCAGAAGCTTTCTTTTTTTTTTCTCTTTTTTTCCTTTAAAAGTGAAGTTTTACTTTATATAATATGTTGTTTATATATAAAAACAATTGCTTGTTTTTATATAAGTTTTTTGACTTTTTAGTTAATACAGTTTTTTGTAAACTTGGTGGTGGGAAGTGGCAATCAAAAGATTATGAAAAAAAGGTTTATTTATAGATTAAACCTTTCAGTCCCTGTGGCCCAATATGTGGGTTATCACATTTGTTAATAAATTTCACCATGCCGAAAACAACATTTGATCACGTTACCAAGGCTAAGTAAAGTTACATTAAAAAAAATAGTTTTAGAAACTAAACAAGATTTGTGAAAATCTGACGATTTGTTTTTATTTTATAGCTTTTAAGTTGATGATGTCATTACAACCATTTTACTGTTTTTTGTCTGGGACTGAAAGAGTTTGACTATTCATAATAATATTTTTTTATTTGTTTACTTGTTTTGTTTTTGTTTTTTATTTTGGTTTGTAACAATAAATATCTGTTTTTTATTTGTAACAATAAAGAAGAGCTTTTGATTTTCTTGAGTCTTCGTCAGCAAAAGTTCCAAAATCTCAAGTTTTGCAGCCATACAATCCTCAAAATGCAGCTTTTCAACAGTTATTTCAAGACGTTGAATCATATGAGTCAACATCACAAGAAGACACTACACCATACACAGTAACTGTAGTAAGAATATTTTCTACTGAATTTTATATATATATATATATATATATATATATATATATATATATATATATATATATGTATATATATATATATACATATATATGTATATATATACATATATATGTATATATATACATATATATGTATTTATATACATATATATGTATATATATACATATATATGTATATATATATACATATATATGTATGTATATATATATATATATATATATATATATATATATATATATATATATATATATATATATATATATATATATATATATAACCCTCAGAATTAGAGTCCGCATTCAGCAATGTTGACCTAACTGCCGATCTGAAAGAGTTTGTGGTCGGCAAAAAATTGCTGACCTCGTTTTTATGTTTTATGGTCAGACCTTATATATATACTAGCAGTAAGCAACCCGTAATACGCGTTGTTAGTAAATAAAATTTAAAAAAAACCGCGTATAGAAAAGCCTAGAAACTACTTTAAAAAAGAAAAGCCTAGAAAATGACGTAGCTCGACTAATAATAATATTAAATTAGCGTATTCATATTATCAGATATATATATATATATATCAAATAAAAATTAAGCATTTTTATAAATACAAATTTTTTATTAGTTGTAATCATTAGGTAAAAATTATTATCAGGTCTTTTGGTTTGTGGTTATCTAGTAAAGAATTTTTAGAAAACTTTATAACATTGAAGGGAATTATATAAATTAAAAACTGGGGATGGAAAGTTGGTTTTTTATTATTCTGATTCACTCCCTACGGTTCTGCAAGCAACTTAGAAGTTACTAGAAAACAAAGAATAGAGTGGAAGAGCATGGAAACATTTGACAGAAGACTTTAAAAGTTGTTGATTGTATAAGTCAATAAGACATGAAGATAGGAGAAAGTTCTTAAGTTACAAAAAAAACTTGGAAAATAAAAGTTTTTAGAGCATGCAGAATCAGATACAGTAAAAAAATGTATTTTTAAAAAGACTTTGCCGAGCAACAAATCAAGCAGGAATGAGTTTTGATATGAGTTGAACTAAAGATAAAAGCTCTTTTGAGCAGCAACCATGATAGTTAGAGCCGAGCACTCTAAAAACATTAAATAGAATTCATGCACAATTTCATAAATAGAACATCATTCATGCACAATTTGGCACTTTTAATACTCTGATATTTTACAGCTGTTGATGTAATCGGCCTCTCTAAATGCTCAGAGTTCAGGGAACTTTACTACCATCTGGCCATAGGGTTATGGGCTGGTCAACATAATTATTCTGCTTACCCCTAAAGTCTTTGCCTAGGAGGCCTTCTACAAGACAGTAGTTGGGTACAGTCATCTGCTCTAGATGAGTATTTTTATCAAGACACCGTCTCTATCCTTTACTCAACCAAGAGCCCCAAGGCAAAAAATTTTTAAGTTGAGGATTTTTAAGTTAGTTTATTTCTCCAAGCTTTTAGACATTTGGCACAGTACTGGGTTACTTAAAGATATTATGAATTTTATAATGAAAAAATAGACCTGGTAATATATATATATATATATATATATATATATATATATATATATATATATATATATATATATATATATATATATATATATATATATATATATATATATATATATATATATATATATTTATATATATATATATATATATATATATATATATATATTTACGTTTTTTTTATATTTATTATTATAGCCACCTGAAGAGGATGATCAACTATTAAAATTAGTCTCAGGTTTTCTTGACTAATAATTTATTATTTTTATAAAACAATGTTTTCATCATTTATTTATTTTTAACACTATTTTAATTGTTGTATTGTAATAATTGTAAATTAACTTATTTTAAAAAATTATTAATTTCAAGAGTTGAAATGAATGTATAAAATTTTAGAAACAACGTCAGCCAAGATTCCTTTGCAACAAATTAATACTGCTTCAGTTAACGGATCTGCGATCCAAGAAACAAGTAAACAAAATTCTTTTAATATTCTTTTGCCTCCTTCTTCATCTAAGACTCCAAGTTACTCAAATTCAAAAACAATAAAAATTACTCAAGTACCAAACCCAAGCACTAAAAGTGATTCTGTCAACAAAATGTCAACAAAAACAATTAAAATTGTCCCCAGTGAAAAACCAAAATCAACTGCAAAGCACAATAATGCTAAAAAAACTAAAGTTATAGAACAAAATATTCCAGAAAGTTTTCCTGTTAGTATAAAAGATTTATCTGAGATTAAAGATGAAGCCATATTAGATTTATCATATTTGGAAAATATTAATACTGAAGCTATTTCAATTGAAGATCTATCAAATATTACACCTACTGTGTTAGCAGCACCTATTATTGATCATGAAACATTAAATTCAAATCAACCAACATCACTTGTAAAAAGACAACTTAGTGTTGCAGATCGGTAAATGTCTATTTTTATTACGGTTTTAATTTATGTTTAATTTATTCACTGTTTAATTTAGTTTAAATGTTGTTTTGATTTTTAGTTTTTAAACAAATAAGTTTAATTTTTATTTATTAGTAAAAATATTTTTAGTTATTAATTTTTAGTATCTAAGATACATTTTGGTATCTAAGTTGCATTTAAAAAAAAAATGTAAATAAGGATTCAAATCAAAAAAAAATTTACTTTGACTATGATAAATAGAGAAATAAATGTCATTGCTTTAGTCTTATGAAATTTTGTTTGTTGATTAATCGTTAAACTTTAATTAATTAGATTAATTAACTTAGAGATAAACTTAGTAAGGCAACAAGCCCCTGTGCTGTAAAATATTTTGATTTTATTGAACGCCCTATGTTGAATTTTCCACATTAATTCATCTAATAATTAATGCTTTGATAAAAAAAAATTCCTTGTAATAAACATTTAAGATTTTTTGTTAAAGCATCAGTTTCAATTAAGCAGTCCCACTCATTAATTCACTTATATTTGTGTTATGATGACCATGGTTTGAACATCACTTATATTTGTGTTATATGACCTATTACATGGTTTGAACATCACTTATATTTGTGTTATATGACCTATTACATGGTTTGAACATCACTTATATTTGTGTTATATGACCTATTACATGGTTTGAACATCACTTATATTTGTGTTATGACCTATTACATGGTTTGAACATCACTTATATTTGTGTTATATGACCTATTACATGGTTTGAACATTACTTATATTTGTGTTATATGACCTATTACATGGTTTGAACATCACTTATATTTGTGTTATATGACCTATTACATGGTTTGAACATCACTTATATTTGTGTTATATGACCCTATAACTTTAAATTCATTTTTTATCTTGTGTTTTATTATTAATGAAATTAAGTTAAAAAAAAAAGAAGTTTGTTAACCAACAAATAAAATTATTAACTAGTTTAATCTCTAAAATGATGCAGTTCGTAAATGATGCGATTCAATTGGCGTTTGATGTAGCACACTTTAAAATACAGATTAAATTAAAGATTATAATTTTTTTTAATTTAAATTATAGAATAAATTTTGAGAGAGAAAAGGTTGTAAATGGATAATTTATAATAAAAGTTATTTTACTCTTACTCCAGTATCAATGGTTGCATATACTTAAAAAAATAATTTGCTATACTTTTAACAAAGATCTCATGTCAGTATCAATGGTTGCTACTATACTTTTAACAAAGATCTCATGTCAGTATCAATGGTTGCTACCTTTAACAAAGATCTCATGTCAGGAATTGTTAAATTTAAAAAAAAAAAAGAAAAAAAAAATTTTTTTGTTTGGCTCGTTTTGTCTTTATTATCAGAAACATACATCATTAAGTGTGGGAATGCAATCAATTTAAAAATATATAGGGATGAGTGTTTAGCTGTTGGATTATTTCCTTTTATTCAAAAGCATCATTGTTTTGGCAATTAAAAATTTTGATTGGATTTTATTAGATTTAATATTTATTAATTCCATTGAGCATATCAGTAAACAAAACTTTGCCATAGGATTTGCCCATTAAGGCTATTTGGTCTAAACTGAAGGAAAAAGTATATGAGAATGGTTGGAAAGCTAAATCACTCCATCAACTTTGTCTGAGAATAAAAAAAAGCTTGCCTTAACTCAATAAAGCAACAATAAAAGATTTTAGAAAAATAATTGATTTAGACATAATCATATTAAAAATATAAAATAAACAATATTTTCTCTTTACTTATATTTTTTTCTTGAAAAATAAAGAAGTAATACCCTTTTAAATTTAGAGCAAAAACATAGTGATTACCCAATAAATTGTTTTTTATTAATATTATTTACAAATGTAAATATAAATAGTACCATAAATTACAATATATAATTGCAATAATGGTGGATAATTAAAATCATGATCATAATGACAATGATCATTACAACAATGATCATAACCACAATCATCATGACGATGATTATAATGATGAGTGAAAAAAATTTCTAATAGATATCTGTTTTCTTTTATGAAGTGAAACTATCTCACAAGATGTCGACCAAATTTCAAAAAGTCTGGATGTTTTACAGAGCATGCTTGATAAAAATCAGTTAAACTTGGACTTAAGGAATTTACAAAATGTAGTTAGTTATTTTCTAATATATTTTTTAGTCTTTGTCATTTTATGTTATCAATAAACTTTTATTTATTTTGTGGTGTCGAAGAATTTTTCTTGTTTGATTTGATCATTAAACTATATTTTTAGGCGTATAATCAATTACCAACTCAAGTTTCACTTTTGGTAAGAATTATTATTCTCAAAGATCAATATGCAGTGCATTCTATTATTTCTTCTGTTTTCATTTTTTTTGTTTTGTTTTTTTTACACTGTGACTGATTTATTCTTGTGTTCTGCAGGTTTTATTATGAAAAATGAATTTATTTGCAAAATAAATTCTATATATAATAAAAACGATATATTATTTTAAACGATAATCTCAACGTAAAATTTTTAGTAAGGGATATAAGATTTTTAAGTTATGAATTTCAGTAAAGTTGCTTTATTAAATTATTTGAAAATAATTTTTTATGAATGGTATTTTTTTTAATAATGTAATTTTAGTAGTGTCGCTTACATCACATCACATTAAATTACATCACGTTCTAGACTTACAATATTTGTTTATAATAAATTTTTTTTTGAGTTATTGTTTTAGTTTATCTGTTATTATTATTATTTATTTTTTTTATGTATTAGGATCTTTTACAGATGAATCAACGACAGAGTGAAATTGAAGATCTAATAGAAAGTGAACATGATAAAAAAGCTCTCGAAGAACAAGGTATACTATTTTAGTAGTTTAAATTTTTTTGATTTTCAAAATTCTAATTCACTCCCAACAAGGCTGCTAAAAACCATTTCTAAGTTAGGATTTACTTAAAAACAAAAAATAGGGTTAAAAAGCAAAGAAATGATTAAGAGAAAACTTGAAAGGTTGTAGGTTGTATGTGTCAGGTTTATGCATCCTAAAGTTGTTTTTTTTTTAATTCAAAATTTATGTTATATTTTGTATATATGTGTATATATAAACATCATTATGATCAATATGATCATCATAATCATCATTATCATTATCATCATCAACATCAACAGCATAAAGTAGGAAGGCTAAAGCCTGATGATCATGATCATGATCATCATGATGATGATCATCATTATCATGATGATTATCATTATTTCTCAATTAAGCACTTCTACAGTTTGTAATTCAGAGTTCCATCATAGTCTTAAAAAGGTGTTCTCCAAAACTCTCTTTAATTTTTGCTAAACTTAAGAAGTGCTAAATAAGTGGTTTCAATTTTTCAAAACTCTAGAAAACACTTTGACATCTTTAACTATCCTATCATCTTCACTCTGTTATTAGTTTCTTTATATAAAGGTTTTGAGGCTATTAAATTATTTTTTTTTAACTGCAGTAGTAAAGTTGTTCTTGAAGGCCTACCTTCTTTATTTCAAGTAACTTTAAGTGTACCACAAGGTTCTATCTTTGCTCCTGTATTGTTTCTTAAGCTTAGTTTCCAATAGTTGTAGAAATGTCGCACAACAATAGTTTGGTTTAATTTGTTGTGCCTTAATTTGTTGTGCAACATGTTGTATCCATTGCATTTAATTAAGTCAAATTTAAAAAAAAAAAAAAACATAAAATAAATGAAAAATATGTTGGTTATTAAAAAAAGTGTTATTCAAAATTATCGACTTTTTGTTATACTTTTAACTTTAAAACGCCAGAAAAAAGAAAACATCAGTTTTGGGTCTGAGAGCTATTTAAAAAATGCATACTGCAAGGTCCATTTAGTTTGTTGAAATGATGCTATTTGATAAACAATTTTTCTCTCGATACTTAAGAATGTCTACTGACAGATTTAAACACCTTTTATCATTAATCGGACCTTCAATAACAAAAAAGTATTGTCCCAGTAGAGAGTCTATATGCCCATTGCAGCGAATTATAATTACACTTCGATACCTAGCTATAGGAGAATCACAACAAATTTTGTTGTTTTATTTTGGTATTGACAAAGCTACAGTATGTAATATAAATGAAGAAACCTGTTATGCTATATGGGAAGTTCTTAAAAAATATTTCTAAGAGCCCCTAACAACATACAAGAGTGGCAAAATATTATTAAAGAATTTAATCAGAATTGGAACTTTCCACAATGTATAAGAGCTATTGATGGAAAGCATGTATGCATTGAGGCTCCTACAAAATCTGCTTCTTCTTTTTACTATTATAAAGGATTTTACAGCATGATTTTATTAGCCATCTGTGATGCTAAATATTGTTTTACAATGGTTGACATTATTAGCCATCTGTGATGCTAAATATTGTTTTACAATGGTTGACATTAGGGGTTATGGAAGGGGTTATTTTAAATGCAAGCACATTTGGTAGAGCATTTAGTAAGGGTGATTTCAATTGATCAGAAGTGCCTAAATTTGATCCTAAAGTTCCACCAGTCCTTGTTGGAGATGATATATTTGTACTTAAACCATGGTTAATGAAACAATACCCAGATAAAACCTTACAGCCCATCAAAGAGTTTATAAGTATCGCTTATCTAGATGTCGTAGAACAATTAAAATTGAAACAATTGAAAATAGTTTTGGAATTCTGGCTGCCAGGTAGAGAGTTTACAGATCTCTAATTAAAGCTATATCATCGAAAGTGGAAAATATAATAAAGGCTACTGTCTGTCTTCACAACTATTTGCATCTAAGAGATGGAGCACATTATGTTCCTACTGGTTTTGTAGATAGTGAAAGCAACTCAGGAATTTCAGAAATTAGAGAAAAGATTTAAATGATCAAGGATGTTTACTTAATTTCTCTAAATCAAAAAGTAATTGATCTGTTTTTAATGCAATAGTAATAAGAAATACTTTTACAGATTATTTTAAATTCATGTCAAGGAAGGTTTTTGTGGCAAATGGACTATGTTCAATCATAGGCCTCCTTGATTTTATTAAAAACATAGTTTTTTAACATCAATAAATTAAACAAAATATTAAACTTTTTGAGAGTTACTTTATAGCTAATTTTAATCAAAATGTAAAGTTTATCAAATAGTTATGTTAAACAATATATTAAATTACGTCTTTTCAAATATTTAATCAACAGTTACTACTAAAGCTACTACAACAGTTACTAAACCTTATAAGAGTTCATTTACTTTTAAAGTACAGTTATTCATATTGCAACAGAAAATCAATGCGTCGATGGGTTAAACAGAGTAGACTGGTTCACTTTTATCTGGAAACTTCAACTTGTGCAGAAATGCTTGTATTTGAACTTTAGCCAAGGCTTTAACACTAAGTTGTTTAAACTTTTTAGTTGTGGAATTAATGAAATCATAAATAAATAATGTTCATTTTGATCTACTTCATTTGAATTTATTGGAATTAATGTTTTCTAATGTTTTATCAAATCAGTCTTTTTTTCCTAACTTTGTTATATGAATCTACTCACACACAAGAATTTATAGAATCTTTTTCTTCAGTCACATCTTCAGGTAAACTCATATTTAGTTCATTTAATGGACTATGAATAATTTAAACTTGCTTGCATACCATGTCAACATTTTCCTCCAAATTTATTGCTTCTAATTTGGAGTCAAAAGGTAAACAAATTTTGGAGGTTGTTTCACAATGTTCAATTAAGGTATTTAGCCAATCAAGATGGAGAAATTGAGGTGGTACTGAATTACTTCCAGAATCTAATGGTATATATTTTTTTTACCTTTAATCACCATCCATAACTATTTTGAATGCTTTTATATTTTTCTTCTGCTTAATTAGCAGTTAGGTTTAACAGACGACCAACTTCTTCTCGTGAATTTTTCTTTTTGAATTTGTCTTTAAATTCTTTATCTAACTTGTCATACAAAACAGGATTTTTTTGAACTTTGTTCATAAAATCTGCTTTAAATATGACTTTTTCTAATACACGTGTTGCCATATTTTCGTAAAAAATGGCAATATTTTAAAAACTTTATTGTTGTACAACAATTATCGCCGGTTTCCAATGAATATAAACTGCACAAATTGCAGAAAGAACAAAAAACTGTTGCAGAGATTAAGTTAAGTTGCGCAACTTAAGCTTCGACAATGTTTCCATTATAAAACAAAGTTGTTGTACAACTTGTGCAGCATTTCTACTATTGGAAACTAAGCTTTATCTACAATAACAATCTTCATAAAATCTAAAGTGGCTCTATTTGCTGACGACTCAACTTAATATTCTTCTCTTGACAAAAGGTTTTCACATTTTGATTGCTTCGAACAAGCAGCTGATTTTTAACCTGATCTCTCTTCTGTAACAGCCTAAGGCTTGCAGTGGCTTGTGGATTTTAAGTCTTTGGCTTTTTATTCAACTAGTTGCATCCTTTTACTCTATCTGTCCCTTCATGCTAAAAAAACTTTCGTTAATTCAGTTTTTTTCTTTGAAAATCAAGAAAACCTTATAACTCTTACCCATCCTCATGTTTTCTTTTTTTATACAATTTACAACTTTTTATGTCTTCAGTCATACGTTTCCTAGTATTTTAACTTATTATCTATTTTAAAGTAATTCATAACTTAATAGTAGTTGCTTGAAATCTTGTTGGAAGTATAGTTTAAAAATATATAAATGTATGCCAGTATTTAATAAATAGTAAATGTAAGCATAAAATTATAATATATTAAGTATTATAAGTTTTTTTCTAGCCCCAGCTATCAACCTCTTTTTAATCCTATATATTTGCCGGTGCCCGGTTTGCAAAAAGTCTCATTTCAAGGGCCATTCAAGGGCCCCGGTTACTTACTAGTTTGAAAGTGTTGCATTACAGGGAAAAATACTAGACGAATAAAAGTTTTTAGAGCATGCAGGGGACACATGCAGTAAAAAGATGTGATTTTACTGAATGAAGAATCAAGTGAGAATGAGTTTAAGTTGATGGAATTAGAAATGATAGCTTCTTTGAGCAGCGACTATGATAGTATTTGTAGAATAAAGAAATGCAACTTGACGACATGGTAGAGTGGCTCAAGCTTCAAATAAGATATTTGTAGGTAGTGAGTATAATCAGGAGTAAATTTTTAATAAACACAATAAAAAGAAGCAATCTTAGCAGACCTGCTAAGAATGCTTTATTGTGTTTATCTTCTTTCTTTATTGTGTTTATCTTCTTTCTTTATTGTGTTTATCTTCTTTCTTTTTTTTTTACTAATGCTATGGAGAGGTATGGAGTTCAAACCTGCCATTTCCACAAAACTATTGTGCTTACTTTAATTCTGTATGCAGCCGGCTTGTTTATTAAGGTTTGCCTTTCAGAGTTATTGAATTGAGAGAGAGGTATTATAACATTTTAAAAAATTGACTATAGTGGAGCTCCTGAGTCTTTAGGTTGTTGCTTCCAATGTTTTCAATAGATAATAAAGTTATGAACATTTATAAAATAAACAAGTTCATACTGCAACTATAACTTATAAAAGTTGAAAATTACATTTTCATAAATGTATTTACCTAAAGTTGTAAATAAACTTTTAGATAATACTTTGAATAAACAATATTTTATTTTTCAATTTTAATTTATGCTTGTCTACATTAATCGATTTTGCTCTTTTTGAATATTACTTTTTGGATATTACTCTTTTTGTGTTATTACTCTTTATTGTCTATTCTTTTATTTTTATTCATCTAATCTTTCACATTTTTATACTTTGCTTTTATATTATTTTATGTTATACTGACGCTACTTTTTATTACGGATTTCATTTTTTAAGAAGAAAAAAAAACACCTTTTGATGCATTTATTTATATTTAAGATCGAATTCTACTTCTAAACATTCTTTATATATTTAACATCGAGTTATACTCTTCTAAACTTTCTACAATTTTGCAGTTTATTTCAACATTAAGTTTGAGAATTAGTGGTATATGTTTTTCTTTTCTAACCTTTGTTTTGCTCAAAATTTTATTTACGTAAAGCTGAGCGTTTTTGGAGTAAATTGCACAGCTTTACGTGAATAAAAATTTGAGTAATTTTGCTCAAATTTTCAATCACGCAAGCCAAAACAATTATTTTTTTTTTATTCACCCGGCCTAATATTAGTTAACTATTTTACTTGAGAAAAGTATTTTCAAGTATTAATTTTTAAATATATATTTAGAATTTTTTGTTCCTTTTTTTATGTATTTAATTAATAAAAACAGAAGCATATGTTAAAAAACAGGAATTTTTACATTAATTAAAAATAATAAATTGTTAATTAAAAAAATTAACTAATTTTTTAATTAATATTAACGCATGACATTAGTGACATTTATGTAACATAATTTTTGATGTTTGTTAGTTAGGTTTTTTTTTTTTTTTTTTTTTTTTTCCGAAAATAACTCGAGTATTCCGATGTATTGTAGGTCAGTTGTTACCTTACACCGTTCCGTTTTCACCAAGTCAACTAATCGACGAGGACTTTAGTGAAGAAAATCATATTCAAGAAGGTTTACAACCTAACCTCTTCGATGATGATTGTGGCTTTTGATTTTTATTTTTTCAAAAAACAATGAAAATAATTTAACTGAAATGTGTTAATTTCTTATTTCGCTATTTTTAAAATGCTGATGTTCGTTTCAATTATGTACGCTATGACTTTTAGTTGTTTTTACTTTTTCTAAAGCTGAATAACTGAATCCACACAAAAAAAAAGTACTCATTTGGGCTCAGTTACTTAGTTTTCGATGCTAAAACGTTTTAAAAAACAAAAGGGTTTATGTTTGTTTGCATTTTTATCTTATTTATTTCGTCTTTGTTTTATGATATTTTCATTCGTCTTTTTATAAATATATAAACATTACAGATTTCTTAAAATTATTTTGTATATTATATAAACGTTTTTTTTTTTAATTTTATTATGCAAAGCTTTTTATTGTAGTAAGCTATTAAATTAAAGTTCTCCTATTTAATAGAATTCATCATTTAATAGAGTTTATCCACTGATCTCTATAATAACTGGATAGCGCATCTTCTATATCAAAAATGAAGCCGAATTTGCCATATTGGAAAGCCTTAAAATACAAATTTACAGAGGTTGCGCCTAAAGGTTCAATTGTCTGCTATTTAGTTTGTTTATACCTATTTAACCAAGTGACGTATTTCCATGTGACATTTTAATGATATTATATTAAAAATTTATCGCTTACTATAGATTTATTACCTTGTTTTGGTTACTAGTGTGCTGAAGATCTTTTATTTAGTCCAAATACTTTGGAATACTTGATTTTCCAAGTTAATGCAACTACTTTACAATAACGTTACAAAGTAAATTTTCAAGTATAAACACGGTTTTCATAAATTGTTTGATCAAATATTTTTTTTTAATGATTTTTTAAAGTATTTTAGAAAGACTTAGGAGTGATAATCAGCTCTGGATAAAAATAAGACCGGCATTTTGTCAGCTTAAAAACTCATTTCAATACCTTAACATTACCAATTTTAAAATGCTCTTCACGTTAATGGTGAGACCACATCTGGAGTACGGTGCTTCTATATGGAAGTTAGAATTCCAGTTAGAATAAAAAACATTAAAGCAATTCAATGGCAGTCCAGAGATAAACAACTAAACTCCTCATATAAGTTAGTGGTAAAGCGAGGATAGAATCCACTGTCTTGGTCTGACAACGTTGGAAGAAAGACAAATAAGATGCGATTAATTACAATTAAAAATGGATTAAATAAAATAAACTTTTGTTCAAGTTCAACGTAAGAAAAATACGACCATGGCACAAGACAAAGAAACTAACCAGAGAACAAAACAAGTCTGATAAACAATTTTTTCTTAAACAGGATAGTCAAATTATTGGAATCAACTGCCTGTAAACTATCAAAACTGTAAAATAACAAATTTTTAAAAACAATTTTTATAAATTTTAAAAAATTAAAATTTAAAACTAATACAAATGTTCTTTACACAGCTACTGTCGTTGTAGTTTGATAATAATAATATTAAATGGTTTGAAATGCTGAAGGTAAGTTGATTTCTTTAACAACTCTAATATCACATTATTCAAGACTTTATTAAAAGTTTCACTTTAAGTGATGATCTCGTACCTAGCTATTCCTTTGCAAGCTTTGATTACACTTAAAGGCTTTAAAATGTCATCTCTAACTTTTAAAAGATAATAACCTGATGTATTCTAATAATTTTTAGACCAAAAGTATTTGTATTAAAGTGTTTACATCATTTTCATGCTTGTTAATTGTTTTTCTGCTACTTTCTGCAATATGCCATACAATATATGAGAAAGTTTTAAAGATGCAATATGGTATAAATAAAAACACATATATGATTTCTTTCAAGTTTAAATATTGACTCTAAAAAGGTAAGATTCAGCTAACATCTATTAATCTTATTCTGGTAAATACTTGAGTAATTAATAATTCTTAAAAATATTACTTGTGAAAACAATAAAAATATTATAAACAAGAAATAAGGTAAATTTATTTTTGTGCAGAGTTTGTCGTGTGTTACTTTTTTTTTTTCCTGCCCACTGACTTGTTTTTTATTGGTTATTTTTAAAATATTACGTAACTGTTAAGTGTAAGAAAAAAATTTTTTTTTTTTTTTTCGAATGTTTACTAGTAACTATATTATCTTAAAAATTTCTCTTACTAAAAGAGTTATTGCTTTTGACATATCTTAATCTTTCGACTAAGTTTGGTTGCTAGTTTTCTCTATAAACTTGCTTCATATGGTGTATCTGAGAAAGTTTTTAAGATTGTCAAACCATTTCTTTCGAACCGCTTTATAAAAGTCATCCTCGAACGCCAAAAATCTTCTTCATTTCCAGTAACTTTTAGAGTACCTCAAGGTTCTATTTTTTACCCTGTTTTATTTCTTATCTACATCAATGATTTTACTGACAACCTTGAAACTAGTGGCTCAATTTGTTAATGACTCAACTTTATACTGCTGTTTTGACAAAAAGTCTTTTCTTTTTTTAAATCTCCTAGAACAGGAAACCGAACTTAAATCTGATCTCACTTCTGTAACTGATTGGGGCTCGCATTGGCTTATGAATTTTAAGTCAAATAAAACTCAGTTATTTATTGCAAACAACTATCACAATACTGTCGACAATTCTATAAGAGGCCATCCATATATTGTGTACGCGAAATTCTCCAGCTTTAAACCCCCTCCCTCCCCCGATTAAGAAAAATACGGCTTGGTAATTGCACATGCCATACTTGTTTATAGAATGAACAAACCTTCATTTAAATGAGATAGTATTCTTGGCCCTAGAAGATAGCGTTTTAGGAAATAATTTTTTCATCAACTGCTACATGGTTGACAACAGTTGCGTTTGTCCAACTTTACAATTTGCATGTGTGCTACATGCAAATTGTAAAGTTGGACAAACGCAATGGCTCTGTCTAACAAGAGTTGCCAGCCACTTCGCACATAGTTGATCTGGTGTTACTGCTGTATCGTTTGGATATACATATCCAGCAAATACTTCCTGATTGTCAATCATCAACTACGACTCCAATATTATTATTATTATACCATAATAATGTATAAACTTTATATATATACTTGTGTATATATATAAAGTTGGGGGAGGGGAGAAACATATGTTAAAAAGGAAAAAGTTCCTCAATTTCGCATGGTACAGCAAAAAAAATTAAAATGATCGATTTATTCAACTATTTATCACACGCAACTTGATTAATAATTTTTTTAACGTGATTCATTATCTTTTGCCGGTACGAATTCATTTAAAAAATAGTTAGTATGCGATAGTATCTCAAACAGTTTTATATATATACTTTTCCATGGTGATGTTTAATTGTAATTGAGTCATTGCAGACTAGAATAATATATATATATATATATATATATATATATATATATATATATATATATATATATATATATATATATATATATATATATATATATATATATATATATATATATATATATATATATATATATATATATATATATATATATATATATATATATATATATATATATATATATATATATATATATATATATATATATATATATATATATATATATATATATATATATATATATATTCATAACAACGAAAAAACTTTAAAGTGATCTCGAGATAATTTAACTATACCAAAGACTATATTCACCACTTTGAAAGTAATTATTTCTATTTATAGACGATAACAAAAGTGTTCTTACAGTAAAATATTTTATACTTATCATCTTATTTAAAACACTTAAGCGTATTTATTAGTTAAAATTATTGTTGAAATTGCTTTAACTATCCTTATTTAGTATATAACAAAAGAAATAATACTTAATTTAAAAAAAATTACGTCAAAAAATTAATAAATATGAAAAATATGTTACAAAAGTACCCCCTTATTTGTTGTTTATGTTAACATTAGCTTTATATTTATTTTCAGCGTAAATATAAATGTCATTTTTAAACCCAATTGGACATTTTGTGCAATAAAAAATTGATAACTTTGAAAATGAAGCCTACTAGAAAAGAGTTGCCAGAAGTGATGAACAACCTTGTTATTTCTGACTATCAAAATTAGAAATCACTGTCACAGATAAAAGAAATGCTTTGTATGTCAAAATCCACAGTTCAATCTATGCAGTTCTTGGTTTATCTAAAATAAACCAAGAACTGGCCACCCAAAAAGTTCTTTCGAAACAAACAGAGTATTGGTTGGTAATAAAAATCAAGATGCAGCCAAAGCTGAGCGCTCCTAAATTGAGTAAGGATTTAGAACTTGATCTATTACAAACTGTAAGTGTGCAAACAGTGAGAGGTGTTTGAAAAAACAAAATTTTCATGGAAGATTAGCCAGAAAGAAACCCTTCATTAAAAGAGAGTGCATGGAATTGTATAAGCAATTAAATTACAAAAACTGGTTCATTCTATGCCAGATCGATTGAGAGCTGTTATAAAAAGTAAGGGAAAAGCAACAAGTTATTGAAATTTTGTATTCTGATACCTTTCTTAACACTTTTTTCTGTTTTCTGAAAGTTTTTTATATTGTACGAAGACTTTTGTAATATTTTATACAAGGCCTTTTTCATATATCTAAGTTTTTCAAAGGAATTTTCTTAAAATAGAATATATTTTTTCCATGGCAGTCCAGAGATAAACAACTAAACTCTTAAATTGATTAATAAAATTTTGATCTATAAAATAAATTTTGTAAATAATTTCACCAAAAAACTTAAAAAATTATACAAAAAATGACTAAATTTATTATATAATTCGCAGTACGATAACTTTTGTAACCCTCTGTAAATTTTCAGACTTATAATCATCCCAATAAAGCCTGTTTTACTCTAACTTAAATGCCTCTATTTTTACCACATTTAAGTGTTATTAAATACTTTATTTTTACCACATTTAAGTGTTATTCTATTGTTACCACATTTAAGTGTTATTCTATTGTTACCACATTTAAGTGTTATTCTATTGTTACCACATTTAAGTGTTATTAAATACTCTATTGACTTTTTTTTTGTAACTACTTTATTATAACGTTGTAAACTAGAATCTTAGTTAACAAGTTTCTGTTATATCAAGATGTCAAAGAGATATCAAAAAATGCTGTTAATAAAAGAAAAAAATCCTTCT